TGAGTTCGAAATCCTCCTCCTTGAAACAGGAAAATATTTCTGTGCCATTCTGTCAGTAATGAAATCGTCGTACACAGCGCAAGTGTCTCGAGCAGTTTTGACAGCTTTCATAAATAAAATTTCAATAACTTTAGACAACAGTTTCACAGGATGACCAGAGTTACTAAGAAACAAAAAGCTACGATATTATTATTCGAGATCATTCGCAGAACATCAAAAAAATAAAATAAAATAAAATGAACAGATTAGACTTACTATAAAGACGGGGGTAAATAGTTGTCTCATCATACCTAGTTGAGAACTGATGCTATCAGGAAGATCGTTGAGGAAAATTAGAAACAATGTAGATCTAATAAAGCCCTGGCGGAGAGACACCCGCATTTATGCAAAAAGATCTAGAAGAGTGGCCGTACAAGACAACTTTCATTTCGCGATCTGATAAAAAAGACTAAATCAGTGAAATAATTCGTCCAGTAATTCGTACGGTATTTGAGGACATGTGATTACTCGCCTTATGTTATGTCTTAATAAATTAATATGCTTTTATATCTTCAAAGCACCAATGGTAGAGCACGTTTTTTGGAAGTCACCAGATTGTTTGTGTGCAAAAAAAAGGAATTGGACGCTTCCAGCGGGGATGTGTCGTCTGTAGGGCAGTGCAGAAAGCATTCACAGCGTTCGGACAGTATCAGGACACCACAATTAGTATAACAGGTGCTAAATATTGTCGATGCAGATCCCGGATCGCCTATAAGTCTATTGCCAGAAATCTCCAGATGTCCGAACAGACGATCCGCAATGTGGTGTATGAAGACATTAGGTACAACTCATACGTGATGAGAAAAGTGGCAGTTCATGTCGGTGTACACAAAAGAACAACGGTTGCTCCGGACAAAAACGATTACTGAATAAGTTCAAACATCCAGAACTTGGCATGCTCTGTTTATTCTTTAACAGACGAATAAAAATTCAGTCAGTATCAGTAATTCAACCAGAGCTATGACAGATGGTTATGTACGGGTCTTTCTGGTGTTCCCAATGTTATGCACAACAAGTTTCCCGGGTCTGTGATCGTTTTAAGGTTGATGAGTAGTGAAAGAACACGTCATGCCACCTCTTTTTTCAACAGGGCCAACAGTTGAATGCTATTGGCTAAAGTGCTGGAAACATTTGTGAAACCCTGGATATATCTTCTATGTCATTACATACAAGATATATTCAGGGTTTCCCAAAGTCCAGGCTGTATGTGTTCCAACGGGACCCTGAACGTGCTCAGAAAGCTTTGGTGACCCAAGATCGCATTGCGACCAATCTGCACGGCCACATTACACCAACCATCCGCCCACCGAACCCGCCTGACATAAAATCCTCTTGACTATTATATGTAGAGCATTGTTGAATGGGAGACTAATCGACATTTCTACAATAGGCGAGTAATTCCTAATATCAATATCTATGTAATTAATATCAATATCAATAATCAATATCGATATCAATGCCCAATATGAATATCAATACAAATCATGTGAGACATGTAATATGCAATATCAATACAGACTATGTGATGCTTGTATTTCAACAATTCTGGTCCCGCATGAAGACATCAGTGCCGCCGAAGTTGTTTACATCAAATAAACATAGAATCCAATTATCACTGCATCCATGTACTAAGTTTTGTATCAATAAATTTAGTTCTTAACATGTGCTTTCTTTTTTTTACGGTTTTCAAATCAATTTCGTCCTCAAATACCTTGTATATATACATATATATATATATATATATATATATATATATATATATATATATATATATATATATCACTGCATATATACTGCATACACACATATATACATATATATACCTTAATACCTCAATACCTTAAGTACCTTGCATATATATATATTGCATATATATATATATATATATATATATATATATATATATATATATATATATATATATATATATATATATATATATATTGAAGAATCGGAGAGCCGAGTTCGAATTCCATTTACATTCTCTTACGTGCTAATACCATTGGGAATGGCATGAATCCTCTTCTCTCTCTAGCTATGGGTAAAGCAGAACAGACCGGATTCTATTGTCTTGGATGGCAACTGGTCTCACCGCAGAAAGAAATGGCAACCTACTGCGGGAAAAAATCTGCCCCGTCAGTCATGTATCGAAAGATACATGATCACCTAAGCGTGTATCATGCATGGAACATAACTTACTGACGCTGAAAACATGTCAAAATCGCTACATAAATGCTGTCATGTTTCGATGCGTATCAATGCATCTATTCAGGCGATTGAAAATTGCTTGCGAGTGAACGCTTTATTTAGACTTAAAAGCAAAATACAAACTTTTGCTAAAAAAAGGTTTGTGGGCGTTACTCTGATCAACGTTTAATTTAAACTAAGCGAAGAAGTAACAATTAAAATATTATGTTTATAAAACGGTGATTGACTCGTAGATTGGCAGCCAGACATAAACGGATACATAAATTATACAAACAAAACAATGCCATTACCTAAGAAATAAAATTGGGGTGGAAAGGTAATTTAGCAAAAATGCTAAAAAAGTTATTGTTGTGGCCTTGTTAGGGCCAGAAATAATGACACAAGAGAGGAATTGAGTTAAACAAATAAATTAACAGAAACAGTAATACAAACATATACAAATGAGAGTGTTACAGCAAGAATGTTCGGTCCGACTGCCAGAGCTGACTGCTGGAAACTTCACCCTCCAAAAGGCAGTATCTGCTCCTATTATTGCTGGGAAAATCCATGCGTGTGTGAGTAAATTACCATAACAATTATATGCTGTGTAAGTTTCCTACATATTTTTTATAGTTGATAAATAAATAACTTCTTTAACAAAGTAGTAAATAATTTAAACGTATAGAATTATCTGGTAAATTAATGTGCAACTGTTGAATAAAGATTCTTCATATAAGATAATAACATTAACCAATATAGTGATATTAGGTCTGGTCTAAACTTCTGGAGTGTTCAAAGCTTTGGAATCGGGAAATCTGTTGGCAGCTGACGTAGAGGCACTTTCAGAGGCACTCAATGCGAGATCTCAGCCCAAAGTTCCCAAGCTCCCATCTGCTTACATGCACTTCGGCCCTATACTGTCGTGGGTTCGAAGGATTCTGATTTCTTATTTCTGAGTTCTTAATCAACTTTCTAAATTTGAAAATTTATTCACCTTCCTTGGGAATAGTTACAAGAATTGTCCTACCCACAACTCCAACCTGCTTCACTTCATATCTTGCACCGCTACTCCACACAGGCGGACCTAAATTCTACCTTCCTTCTTCTTTCCCGGTATTCTAACTCTGCCCAATATTTGGGACTGGCATAACAGTCTTTGTGACAAATCTAATTTTTTACGTGCGTAGGAGAAAGAGTGTGGTTTATTCTCCACATTAATTTCAATTCACTGACTCCTTTTCTGTCCCGACCTGTTCATCGAAAACAGAAACCAAATCATCTTCTCATTTTCACCTTCCGGCAGATAAAAATTATTTCCCAGTTTGTTTTCTTCAATGAATATATATTTGTTTATCTAAATTCTCAAAAAAGAGACACACTGTTTTCCAGCCTTAGGTCGGTTGCCGTCTTAGCAAAAATATAAACCAGATCACCTACCTGTTATGAAGGATCGATTTTCATAATCCTAATTTTAGCAGCGGGTTCATTCTATGTTTTCATTTCTCAATTCGTTTTCGCTAACGAAAATATAATTTACCGCCTGCTTCTCTTTTTGGCAATATATATATTTCAAATTTCCCAAGAAATAGATAAAGCCATTTTGTAATTTGCTTCACCCGCATGCTAGATTTTCGATAGATAAAAAAGCGTAAATTCTGGGCGCATCGTTCCGGTTCGTAGGGGTGAGGCAACCTAGATGGCTCTTTCTTCACTTCCACATTGCCAGGGAATATGTCTTCTATTCTGTCTTTTTATCTCTCTTTCTTCCAGTTTATATTTCATTTCGGTCTTAACCCTCTTTTTGGTTAGAATTAATGTTTAACCGCCTCACAGCTTCAGTGTCACGCACACACACATATATAGGATTAATGTGAGGTGTATATATATATATATATGTGTGTGTGTGTGTGTGTGTGTGTGTGTGTGTGTGTGTGTGTGTGTGTGTGTGTGAATATAATAGGCCGGCGAAAGAAATTCGAGGGATAAAAAATAACAAAATAAGAATATTGATAATAAGCCTAATAATATTATTGTATATTAGAAGGCCTTTTGACTAAATAGAAGCACGATGACGAATGATTTTTAGGATTTTCGGACACGTTTCTGTCCTTTCTCAACGATATATATATATATATATATATATATATATATATATATATGGAGAGATAGAGAGATTGAGATTGACAGACACAGAGAGAGAGAGAGAGAGAGAGAGAGAGAGACAAAGAGAGACAGGTTGGATGTATTGGTTCCTGGCTATCGTTTAAGCAACATTGGTGGAGTAAAGTGGAAAGTCATATTGTATGGTCAATTAGCGATTTCCCATAAAATGAAAACTGTCAAGGCCTGCGCCCAGAAGAGAACACACTAGTGTTGCCTTACATGCACCCAATTGTAAAACCGATAGGACGCTTCCCCAGGGGCGAACATATGGTTCCTCGAGACCAATGTACCCCACAAATATAATAAAGTGAGAAAAAAGTGAGAGGAAGCATGGTGGATTTTAGAAAACTTCTAAGGTGAAGTAGTGCAAGACATGAAAAGGAGAAATGGAGGATGGGGAGTCCATTAAGAATATAAAAAGGAAAAGAAAACTTGCAGAAGAAAGAAAGAAAGAAAGAAAGAAAGAAAGAAAGAAAGAATGAAGGGAAAGGGAGTAGGGGACTTAAGTAAAAGGAAAAAGAGGATGAAAGCTAGAAATTTTACAAAAGAAAGAAAGCGAATGTAAAAGGAAGATGGGCGAGGTAGGTCATGTAAATATATGAAAAAGGGGGTCAAAGTAGGAAATTTGTAAAAGAAAGAAAAAGAGAAAGAAAAATTAAGTAGAAAGAGGGAGAGAGTGGGGAGTCAAGTAAAAAGAAAAAGTAGAAAGAAAGCCGGGAAACATGCAGAAGAAAGAAAGCATATAAAGAAGTTTGCATAAGAAAGAAAGAAAGAAAGAAAGAAAGAAAGAAAGAAAGAAAACGATGAAAAAGAAAATAAATAAATAAATGTAAAAGAACTGAAAAATAAAACTTGAAAGAAAGAAAAGTAAAAGAGCATGAAAAGAACTGGTGAAAATTAATTTGAATACATATATATATATATATATATATATATATATATATATATATATATATATATATATATTAAAAAAAAGATGTTTCAAATAAAAAAGAAAGAAAGCAAAATTATAAGGGTCCAAGATAGAATTTACGGAAATAATGGACAGAACAAAGGAATTTGTTTCGAAAACAAATCCCAAAGAAAGATTTGTGAGTATAAATAAAAGCGATAAAGAAAATGGAGGGACAAATGGCTGATACTTGAAAGAAAAAGTATAGCGTAAAGCGGGGTTGATGGACATTGTGGCCGGAAATGGGTTCATATCCGAAGGTCAAATGAGTGGATGGTCCAGATTTCGATTGGAACAGGCTGAAAGTATTTTGGGACACAGTTAATCACGTGGTGCTAAAGAAAGAAACAAAAATATGTTAGCAGAATGTACCGGGTGGCAAGGAACGCCAAAACATCCGTTGTGGACTTTGTTTAGTAGAGTTCATACAAATAAAACCAGATCATAAAATAGACCGCGAGATTTTTTTTTCTTCTTCTTCTTGTTTGTTTTCATTTTAAATCTGCTGAAATGCCTCGAATCCTGTTTTTAGTCCATAAAAATCTTCAGCTTTATTTTGTTTTGGAATATACTAAGTGAAGCGCAATTCTTGAGTCAATCGGTTCTGTTTTCATCTCCTTCTCTTTTGTTGCTCCCAACATTTGCGTTAGGCAAATTATAGATATATTTTTTTTGTTGTTGTGTGTGAGTATATAATGAAATATAACAATAATTCATTCATTTTTTTATTTGCTCAACTTTGATTTCATTAACTCTAAATCGTTTATCGTGTAGGAAAACAGTACACAATAGTAAGTGTTACGAATGCAAAACTCAGTAGAGATGTTCGTAAGGACCCTGATGTTAATTATCTTGAAAAAATAACTAAAACGTAATGTAAATGTAAGTAAAACTCTTTATAGATTTATCGTTAGGATTTTGATGTTAGTTGCACTGAAAAAGTTACAAAATGCAATTTAAATGCATGTAAAACCCAACAGAGTTACCCGTAAGGAGTTTGATGTTAATTATCCTGAAAAATTTACCAAGTGTAATGTAAATGAATATAAAACTCAACAGAGTTATCCGTAATGACATTGATGTTATATACCCTGAAAAAGTTACAAAATTTGATCTATCGTGTGATGAATGTGGTCGCATCTACCTAAGTAAGGCAGACCTACAAATCAAATAAACCACAAAAAGAAATCATTCATTACATGTTAAGTGGTAATTATATAACAACTTCAAGGAACACCGCACGTTGCCATATCTGTACAAGAAAATGTAAGACCATAGCAAGACTAAAAGACTAAATTCGCGCTGCTCATATTTGAGGTTGGATCAATAGGTGCCATTCCTGTAAACCCAATCGCTGCCATCATATCAATTCCTTAATCTTTGATTTGCTCAGTGAGAGAAATCTTTTGTGAAGACTTCTGTTCGAGAATATGAATGAAAGTTGTGTCAACCGAATGAATGAACCGAGAAGGTTGATCTTGTAGCTCGACAAGAATAAAGCAATTCGAAATTTATTGATAGAATTGAATATAGCACCGAAAATAATCAAGAATCTGAGAACAAATGATAGAATGAGAGTCTGTGAGTAAGAAATGAAACAGTACAGAATTTGAAACGACTAGGTTGCGAACTTTGTCTTCTTCTGCCGTCCTACTTACGTGGCGGTTCGAAGAACTCGTCTGAAGCTTCAAAAATGAAATGCAATCTCAATCTTTATCTTTATTTTTATTTTAAATGCAATCTCAATCTTTATTTATTTAATTTGTGTTATTTTATGGATCTCTCACATTAATGTTTTCTTTTTCGCATATTCTCTCACATTCAATTGTGCCTTGCGTTTTAGTGGCTTTATTGCCTTACTTGGGGGTAAAATGATTTAAAAAATGCAACGCCAATCGCCACTTTCTGTCTTCTTGCACCCTGTTCCTTTGCTGTCCTTTCTCCTCACAAAAAATCCTTGAATCTTAGTGGCATTATCGCCTTGCTTGAGGTTAAAGAATCAAAAGGATGTCTCAGTATCAGTTATCTCCCTTTAACTCAACTCTGCAATTTTTTGTTCACCTCAGCTGTAGCCAGGTATTGAACTCACTACTCTTTGGGTCAAGTCACTGGATTCAACCAACGCTTTTATTCACAGGGCTATGTGTCCTTTTTGCTTACCTGCAAATAACTTTGGGGGGGGGAGTATGAAGCCATCTCTTCTCCCTCAGCTATGGGTTGAATAGCAGGACAGATTGGATTCTGTAGCTTTGGTTGGAATCCAGTCTACCGCAGAAAAAAGGTAACTTACTGCGGGGAAAATCTTCTGTTTAGTCAATCATGAATTGAAAAAGACATGATCGCGCAAGCGTGTGTCACGTCTAGCAATTAATTGACTGACTGAATATATGCGTAACGCCTTCAGTATTCCTACACTACGGTAAAACACACAGACCTTATGTTGAAAATTATCTTACTACCTGTGCATCCATTAATCATTTCATTAGTATAGAACTTACCGCTAGTCAATGATAAAGTCTAATGCTAAGATTTTAACAAGACCGGAGTATTTTCATATATATATATATATATATATATATATATATATATATTAAAAGATAAGAACGCTAACCGAAACACTACCGCAGTTTCGACCGCCGAGGTCTCGTTAGGTGGTATGTTCATCTCTCTCGCCCTATATATATATATATATATATATATATATAATTTTTTTTTTTTAAATTATAATTTAAGCTCTATTTCTGTATGGAGCACTGTTTTTTAAAAATAAAAACAAAAATACTAAAGAACTCCGGATTATTTACCTAACGTGTTCTTTCCTATTTTTCTACATATTTTCACACACACACACACACACACACACACACACACACACACACACACACACACACACATATATATATATATATATATGTAGCGATAGAGAGATAATATCAAATCCGTAAGTGGTAAGGATAATCCAAGTAGGTTTTTTTAATATAAAATATTAAAAAGATAGATCCATAAAATGTATTATTGCTTCAAGTCTCTTCTTAATCTGTGAGGAAATTGTCTAGCATTCACTGTCATATGGGAGGACTGATATTCGCGTATAGTGCAACTTGAGTATAATGCTACCTCGTGGTTCTGAAGCTAAAAACAGGCAATACATTACTTCCTTGCATATAACACGACCCGATGAATACCTTTTTTTTAAAAAAAAAGAATTACTATATTATGCATTAAAATCTCAATGTCGTACATTATTTTTCATAAAATTATTTAATTTCTCACGATATTAAAGATCAGAAGTAACCGGATGTTTAGCCATTGTGTGTTTCTTTTCCTAATTTCCGTTTCTAAACTTATTTTCGAATTCTCGTGGAAAGCTGCATTGTTCTACATTAATGATATTATAATATAATAAGAACTCTAAGTAGAAACTTTATTCGACTAATTCAGCTTTAGTGCTGAAAACCTTTCATTTTATAGTAATGGATGGTTATAAGCAGGAAGGGATATGGGATGTGCTTATTCTATTAACACAGTTAATAAAACATAACAGATATTGTATATTCTCTTTATTATTATTTTTTATCAATTTCGGTGAAATTCCTGTCTTTGATACAAAAGACGTTCACTTCCGCTGATTCTTAAACAACAAACATTACCGGCATATCAAATACAATTTGTTATCACCTGCCTACTTTGTACTTTATTATCTGTTGTGATAACTGACTGTATTTGAAATCTCGCTGTTTCAAATAATGTTAAATAATAGTTTAGCAGACTATTAGTTTTTTTTAGAGAAGTGTATCTCTGCTCGGACTTTCTGGGGTTGACCTTTGATGTCAGATAAAAAACAAAATAAAGGAAGTCGATTTTGATTGGCTGAACGAGCGTGAGAATGATAGAGAAAGGTTTTCTCAGTTTCCTTCGTGTCTGAAAACTGCTCTCCAGTAGTGGGAGAGAGCGACCCCACTGGATAGTTACAGATGTATACGTCGACGTTAATAAAATAGTTAAGTAAAATTCCCTCTGTTGAAGTTCTTTCATCTCCGGACCCAAAAATATTTCGCTACTCGGCCGGGAGAAGACGAGAGAGAGAAGATACAACATATTGAATTGAAGACGTAGCCTAAGAAGACGTCCACCTAGGGAATATGCAACATTGTATTAATTGGCGCAGTGACCAAGAGCTTCCCAGAACGAGGGGGCTATACAACATAGGTTTAAAATTGGCGCCTATGATAAAGACTCCACAGACAACAATAAGAGATTTTTTAAGCTGAATATTTTTTTTTGAAAACGTGTACTTGTGTATAATACGACCCCCACTTTTTTGCTTTTAATTTTCATTCAAAATTTATCGTATTATGCACAAGGAAATACGGTGGATAGCAGTTCGGCACATATTTTACTGCTTGTAAAATGTGATGAGCTTTGGTACCTGATCAGTAGTCAACTTCTTGCTTGTCTCTTTGTTTACAATACACTTTATATCTCTTCTACTTAACATATGCAAATAGGTACAATCCTATTTACCAATCCACTACACCTCCCTGAACTGAAGAGGTCTAATGCTTTTAGTTGTTCTTGAAATTCTTCTACAACCTTCTCTCCCCTTGAGGTTTATGTTCTGTTCTTTTTAATAGAGAACTTTGTCTCATTCCATCTTCTTCCATGTGTGAGTCATTCCTGCTATCATCCATTAGCTCGTCTTCTATTGCATTGTCCTGATCTGAAAAAAAATCATCCTTTCTTCTCTGTCAAAGTCTTCTTCCATCATGACATCTTCCTCTTCAATTCTGGGTCGAAATTGGTCAGAATGGGCCATTAGGCTTTTTCCTTTCTTTGTTATAATGGCATGATGAAATTAGTTCTCTCAAGAATTACTTTCTATCTTTCTATTTTTTTAGCCCTAGCCTGGGCTGCAGTAAACTGGATCCAAGTCTCAACAAATTGTTTCATCCAAGTGACTTAAACATCTTATCAATAATGCCATATTGTTGAAAGTGTGTTGTTTTATGACACGTAATCAGTAGTCAACTTCTTGCCTGTCTCTTTTACTAGTTTACTATACATTTTATATCTCTTCTATTTAACATATGCAAATAGGTACAATTCAATTTACTAATCCACTACAGACACCAGGTGAAGAATACAACGCAAGCAATCTGAGAAGATAGAGAAAAAAAATCTAACGTTATATAGAAATAAGTAAGAATAAATATGGCGGATACAGAATAAATGTAAAGGAAACAAGAAGAAAATTAATGGAGAGAGAAAGTTAAAAGGAGAGATGGCTTGAGTTTCTATACAGGAAAGAAAAATTTGAGAGACATAAGCAGACCAGCTGAAATACAGACAGTGTCAGTGAAAGAAGTGAGCAGTTCTATTTGCAAGGGTGTATTGCCATTCTTCCGTCTCTCTCATTCAGAAAGTACAAAAATATCTTCACTGTTAATCGTATATTAAATAAATATTCATAGCAAACAATAACAAGAGTAGAAAAAAACCTTCGATGAAGTCCACCAGGCAAAAGATCAAATTTAATATTTCTATAAAATCAAAAGCAACAACAAAAACAACGTTAATATTATGAGTTAGAAGCCAACCGAAATAAGAGTGTCAAAGCCTTAAATCGCTCCGAAGTAAATTTTCAGAGTCGAGTAGAGTCGTAACAAGAAAGAAACAAATTGAAGGGCTCATGACCGAGTGATTAAATCGGTTGGCCTTAAAACCTATCTCCTTTTAAAAATATGGAGCTTCGCAGACGACAGGGAGAATATTAGGAATTAAAAAAAGAAAGAAATAGGAATGGAAGGAAAAGGAAAAAGGAAAACGGAAAAAGAAATAAGAGATGAGAGAATAAATAGGTTGTAACCTACATTTTCGATTTTGATTGGTCCTAATATCAGGGGAGGAATAATTCTTTTATTCAATTTATGCTTATTTATTTTTCATTTAAATTTTTTCCGGACAAAAAGGTAAGGAAAGTGCTGACGTAACAATGACGTCATTCCATCGTGGTACCTCCTACTTTTGTTTATTTGCTTGTCGTTTTCTTTCTCTTTTTCTCTTATTTTCTGAATTAAAAAGAAACAAAATAAAACAAGCTCTCTCGTATAAGTAATTAGCTGTGAAACAAAACTCTTCTAATGAGATTTATTTATTTTCATTTTTTTTCGGATTTTATTTATTATTAAGTTGAAATATTTACTTATTTTTATTTTATTACATTTTTTTGTTTTTGCCATTTTATTTTTTATGTATTTAATCTTTCTTCATTGTTAGCTATCTATTATTCATTTTTAGGTTATAATTTTTTAAATTTTTATTATTTTATGTTTAGATCTCAATTACTTGGCGAGGAAATTCCAATAAATAGAAAAGAAAACTGAATATATATATATATATATATATATATATATATATATATATATATATATATATATATATATGTATGTGTGTGTGTGTGTGTTTGTGTAATATAATATATTGCACAATTAGTGATGGAAAAAACATATTGCTCAATGTAAAGAAGAGAGATAAGATATATATATATTCTTATTCCTCTATGGGCGATGCTACTCAACTTTTCATGCAAAAAGTTATAAGGCATAAACTTAGAATTGTCTGTCACAACACTATCGTGGCTACAGGAAAGACAATGAGATGGTCCATATTCAAAGAAAAATGGCGGGAACTGGGAAAAAAATCCGAAAAACACCATTCGCTTAAAACGTGGCAGAGGTTACTATTGTCAGACAGAATTTATATTTTCAATAGGTAATTTATTTTTGTGTTTACAGGGAACCATTTGTTCATTTCTTTTATTTATATATATATATATATTATATCGTTTCTCCCGTAAATGTTGAAATTTTATTTACTATTTATTTTTTTTTATCTTAATCATCGTTTATTTTTTACTCAAGAGGAGTAGATAGGTCTGCCTATCATTCTGTTCAAAGTTCTCCCCGGTCTTTTGAACAGGAATAGAGATTTATCCCTTGTTTCCTGATACGGTTTGGGTTTCCGGTCCCTTCTAAAGATCTAATTCATATCCATGCTTCTAAAGTCTCCGACCAAACGCAGAAATTTTATTTACATTTTATTTTATTTTTTCCTCAATAGGCGTAGACAGGTTGGCTTATCGTCCAGTTCACACTCCTCCCCTGTCTTTTTTCCTGTTTAGTTCTGGGTTTCCAGTTCCTTCTAAAGGTGCACTTCAACTCTATACTTCTAAAGTCTCCGACTAAATGCTGAAATTTTATTTACTTTTAATTTTATTAAGTTTTTTTCCTCAATAGGAGTAGATAGCTTCACCCATAATACAGTTCACACTCCTCCCGGTCTTTTGAACAGGAGTAGAGGTTCATCCCTTGTTTCCGTTTTAGGATTTCGTTTCCAGTTCCTTCTAATGTCTTCTCATTCTCTCTCACTTCCAGTAGCCCTTTGCGTCTTAGTAGCATTATTACCTTTCTTAGGGTGAATTGATTAAAAAGATAAAGGTGTTAAACACAAAATCAAGCCACTGAGAAGCTTGTGCGGTTGAATTGTGGACAGGAATGGGCCGTTAAAATTTACATCTACGATGGTGGTGTAATGGTTAGTAGGTCGGAATTAGAAATCGATGAGCCGGGTTCGAATTTCAGTCGAGTTTGTTATATTCACTTATATGCAAATAGCCTAGGGAAAGGTATGAATATCGTAACCCAACTATGTTAAATAGTAAAACTTATATTTGGAAAAATCAATGTTACCCCCCAAAGAATTATTAAAGCAATATTCACTCGCAAACAAAAAATAAAATATTCTTACAATCCAAAATATGTTCCGGCTTTAAATACCCCACAAAGGGTTGATAAGCTGTAAAAAATCAAAGCAATAAATCAATCAAAGTAGATGAAACCCACGACCCATTTGCATATCAATATTTACTTGTTAGATTCACCACAACCGCATGAATTTAAGCGTGCTACTAGATTGGCAATTAGGTCTCATTGTTTTATAGTTGAACTAGTTAGATCCAACCGTTTTTTTCTATTCTAACAGTTTCTTCTTACCTGTGTAACTCCTTTCCGATTTCTTGCTTCCTTGTCACCTACAATCTTCAAGAATTGTGATGAATCGCCATCTTTTGTCTTTCTGAACCTTGTTCAATTATAGTCCTCTCCCACTTTTCCTCACTAAAGTCTTCGCTTTCTATTTCAATCCCAGTAGCCCCTTGCATCTCAGTAGCATTATCGCCTTTGGGGTTAGATGATCTTACTTATTATAAAACGCAGATTGTGTGTGTGTGTGTGTGTGTGTGTGTGTGTGTGTGTGTGTGTGTGTGTATTGGATCGGATTTATTACATTTTTCAACCGATTTCAACAAAACTTCACAGCGGTGGTTCTGAGAGCGGCAAAAATTGGAAAAACACAATTGTTTTTGCAGGAAATCAATTTGAAAACACGATAAAACACGATTCTGTCACCAGAATGAAAAGGGGACAACTCATATCGAGTTATACTTATTATAAAACCCAGGTTGTTTATGTGTGTTTGTTCGTTTATATATGGGATCGGATTTCCTACATTTTTCAACCGATTTCAACATAACTTCACTTTTTTTTGACAGGTAGTGTTTCTTATTGTCTTGCACACTTTTTTCTTTGTTTTTACATTCAGAATGCTTTAAAAATTCCATTTACAAGACAATTGTTTATAATAAAATTCTATTCAATCGATAGACTCATGACGATTGAAAACAATGTTTTTGTTTCAGTTTGGGTTTGACCAATTCGTAAAAAAAAAAAAAAAATAATAATTAAGACATGCGTGTCCGTCAACCTTAAACAATAATCTTTGTCAATTTTATTTTTCAGTTTTTATGATGGTCGATACTTGATCTATCTCTTACTGTTACATCCCCGGGCAACGCCGGGCTCTACTGCTAGTCTTAAATAAAAGTAAGTTTATATATCAGTGTATGATATATTTCAGGCTTTCCACATTTATCAGTCACCATCAATTTTTGACAACGCTTATCATTGTGTGATATATTTCATAGTTTTCACGTTTAAAATGTCGGTGCCTTCGAAATTTCATTATTAAGAATGTCTTTGTGAATGTTTGCACGTACTTTTGTCTTTCTCTTTGCTTTTTCTTTTGTTTTCTATTTCATTTCCATTTTTTTCTGGGTCTTTATACAATTTTTCGCGTGCAAAGAATTTATTTGTTTGCCTGAGGACAAACAATTCGAGCTTGATTTAAAGAGTAAAAAATGTTTCCGTAAAATCATGCTTTGAAGTCGTTGCGGGCGTTGATAGGCAGCGTTTGGGATTAGGTAATTACGCCTAAGAACTGCACAACCAATTAGGCGCTATGCGAAAGGCCAAACAGTAGACAAAAAAAAAAAAAAGGAAAGGAAAAAAGATGACAAGCGGATACGCTTTGATTGCAAGCCAACATACATTTGCATTTGCGCATGTCCCAGCTTGTGGAGATGTACTCTACGCATGCGTGTCCAGAGCCATAAAAACATATTATAAACATATGCATATCTTTAAGACAAACATAATTATTGACACAAGATTATCGGTTGGAAAAATAAATCGAAAGGAAACGTTGGTGATTAAAATAAAATCAAAGATCTGTAAATAAAATGGCGAAGATAATGATTATAAAAT